CTTGGCTGGCTTCCTGCCTTTACCACCCCCGTGCCTCCCCAGTTTTCCTCCACTTTCTGAGGCCACAGGGAAACATGGGGTCATCAGTATCTACAGAGTCACAATATACAGAGGAGGTTGGTGGACTGCAACCTTTTCCCCCATAATATGCTTAGAATCCCTTATCTGGCCCTCATTAAAAGAGAGAGACAGACAGACAGAGAGAAACCCACAGTACTGCCCTAAGCCACCCCTTTGGCAAGAAGATCGTTTGAAATTCTGGTTTCTCAGGAAGGTGGAGGTGGCCTGCTTCCTCTTCCTGCCTGGGGTATTGGTGGAGGCTCTCCCCACGGGAAGGCACAGTGGCCGTTGATGAGGGTGGAGGAAGAGGGATGTGGTCTTTTTATTTTTGGCAGTGCTGCCCTAGCTTTTCTTGTGCAGGGAAGATGGTGGTGATGAATGCAAAGACCTGAAGGGTGGGAGGGGTCCCTAGGACTCCCTGTGTGTGGTGGCCTCTGACTTGGGTAGGGACAGGCAGTATGTAACACAAGGAAGTAAAGCAATGCAGCGAACTCTAAGCAGCACTTACTGCTGAGAAATCTGAAGATCGATTCTCCAGGAGCTCCCCCTGACTTCCACTAGCTTTCCCCTGCCCCACCCCCACACTTTCACATTGTGTGAAATTTCCAATAGCCTGAGTTTCTACATTTCGGAAATTTCAAGGACTGTGCTCACTTCGCTGCTGACTCAGCCTGGACTCAGGGATGCCAGACTGGAGCCACCTGGGAGTGACCAGGAGGTGGATGTGGAGGGACTGGAGAGGTGTATGGAGCGGGGTGAGGAGTGTTTCAGCTCCCTGTAAAGAGCTGGGTCTGGGTGTCATTTCTGTGTCATTCCTCTGCCTTTTTCAAAGAGCCAGAAAAGCCAGGACTCCTTCCTTTCTGCAAAACCCCATCTCATCTTTGATCTTCAACGGCCAAGATAACTGGCCCTCCCACCCACTACCTTCAAAGAGTGGACCTTCAGTCCTGGGGGGTAGGGAGGGAGCTGTGTCAAGTAGGGTAACAAAGAAGGGTAGAGATTCACACTTTGACTAGTTGAGCAAGAGCTTTATCTTCTGTTTACTCCTGCATGTTTTCCATATGGATAGTTACCATAGCAACTCCATCAAGGGACACACAAGCCGGAGCACCTCAGAGACACACCTTTTATGAGTGTGTGTTCCATGCTCCACCCCTCCCCTGCACTGCGGCAAGCAGAGGGCTGGGGCCATCGACCACAGCCCAGAAAGATGGAGGACAGACTCTGGCTGCGAACAAAAGCAGGAACCCAGAGCACGAACTCACCCCTTGCCAAGCATTCAGTAACACCCGCCCCCCACACAAAACCTCAGTCCACTTTTAGAAATGGCAATCGTAAAGGGCTTCCCTGGCTAAAAGAGGGCTGCCTGCTGCAGGGGGGAGGAGAGGTGCAAAATGCCAGCAACTCAACAAGATGGATCAGTTCCCATCTGCTCTCCAGGGCATGTTTGCTGTAGGGCGGGAGATGGGGTGCTGAGTGCTGAGGAATTGGGGCAGGGCACACTCCTCCAAAGGAGATTTCCTGATTAAGTTTCCTTCCTGGTAAGTGATCCTCAGCTTTGCAAATGACAACAAGAGCAAATTCATGGAGGCCCCAGGCTCATGCTGTGCCTGGGCTCCTGCCACTGCACCCCATGCCCACAGGGATGGGCCCCTCACCCCCACTATCAAGGGGGGCCGCCTCCTAGGCTAGGCCAGGGCCAGCTTCAGCTCTGCCTCCACTTGAATGGAACCCATGCCTTCCTACAGAGGAAGGTTTCTGGCACTTGACTCATCTTGTATCTTGGAAGGCTTTGTGCATCTCTGAATTTTTTTGCCTCTGGCTGCTTTGAGAGAAAATGGATTCTGAGAAAGAGAACCAAGAAAGCACCACATCTACAGGCACAAATTCTTTTCTTCAGTTTCCAGAGTTCCACACTTGGATCCTCCCTTGGAGGGAGTTTTCAGAAGCCACAGCCCTGGAGGCTTTAAACAAAACAAACAGAATCTATAAGAA